GGGGGGGGGGGGGGGGGGGCCTCGCGCTAAAATCTGCCACGGGACTCGCGCGACGTTAATCCGGCCCTGAGTTACACGAGCACCAAAATTGCTGCAACTTGCAACAAAATCTGATTTCAACACATGTTAAGTAGAAATGTCGACACATGTTTGCCTTGTGATTTGTAATTTACGTGCAAACATTTTCAATTAACATGCGTTGAAATCAGATTTTGTTGCAAGTTGCAAAGTGTCACAATTTTGTGACTCGCAAAATCTCATGTGGTAGGCTACCCCCAGAGGTCCCTACCAATTTATGACGCATCTGAAGTTTGCCGTAAACCTCTTCGAATTCCAAAGACACAACAACATAAATATATAATGCTTTAATTGAAAAACTACTAAATTAAAATAATTCCCAAGACCCAATAACTCTACAAATTATTTTGTAATTTGATATTATCCATGGCGTCCTGGAATGCTTTTAGGACAAGATTGACATTATCTTTCGTACTGTTCACACCCATCAAACCAACACGCCAGATCTACAATATAGCAGTAGAATTTCGAGCAGTCTGATTAATATCTGGATAGCATAGAGAACAGTGAGATTTTCAAAACAATGAAAAGACAATGGAACATTCTGATCACTGGATCATGACTGGATGGCATGGAGAACAGCGAGATTTTCAAAACAATGAAAAGACAATGGAACATTCTGATCACTGGATCATGACTGGATAGCATAGAGAACAGTGAGATTTTCAAAACTATGAAAAGACAATGGAACATTCTGATCACTGGATCATGACTGGATGGCATGGAGAACAGCGAGATTTTCAAAACAATGAAAAGACAATGGAACATTCTGATCACTGGATCATGACTGGATGGCATGGAGAACAGTGAGATTTTCAAAACAATGAAAAGGCAATGGAGCATTCTGCTCACTGATCATGAATCATGACTGGATGATATGAAGAACAGTGAGATTTTCAAAACAATGAAAAGGCAATGGAGCATTCTGCTCACTGATCATGAATCATGACTGGATGATATGAAGAACAGTGAGATTTTCAAAACAATGAAAAGACAATGGAGCATTCTGATCACTGGATCATGACTGGATGACATGGAGAACAGTGAGATTTTCAAAACAATGAAAAGACAATGGAGCATTCTGATCACTGGATCATGACTGGATGGCATGGAGAACAGTGAGATTTTCAAAACAATGAAAAGACAATGGAACATTCTGATCACTGGAACATGACTGGATGACATGGAGAACAGTGAGATTTTCAAAACAATGAAAAGACAATGGAACATTCTGATCACTGGATCATGACTGGATGGCATGGAGAACAGTGGGATTTTCAAAACAATGAAAAGACATTGGAACATTCTGATCACTGGATCATGACTGGATGACATGGAGAACAGTGAGATTTTCAAAACAATGAAAAGACAATGGAACATTTTGATCACTGGATCATGACTGGATGGCATGGAGAACAGTGGAATTTTCAAAACAATGAAAAGACAATGGAACATTCTGATCACTGGATCATGACTGGATGGCATGAAGGACAGTGAGATTTTCAAAACAATGAAAAGACAATGGAACATTTTGATCACTGGATCATGACTGGATGGCATGGAGGACAGTGAGATTTTCAAAACAATGAAAAGACAATGGAACATTCTGATCACTGGATCATGACTGGATGGCATGGAGAACAGTGAGATTTTCAAAACAATGAAAAGACAATGGAACATTCTGATCACTGGAACATGACTAGATGACATGGAGAATAGTGGGATTTTTAAACAATGAAAAGAGGGAACATTCTGATGACTGGAGCATGACAGAACAGTGGGATTTTCAAAACCATGCCTGTGTATTTAGTTTTTTGCAGGTAGCCAAAAAAATTTTCAGTTAGCCCTGCGTGGTCCAAACTTGCTCGCTTCGCTTGAAGCTTGCAAATTGCGATGTTTCATATTGTCAAAATTGAGTGTCCGCTAATTTGCTCAAACCCAAATCTGTTCTAACCCAATGCAGTTCTGGCATTTGAAAACGGAGTTCTGGCATTTGAAAACGGAGTTCAGACATTTGAAAACGGAGTTTTGGCTTTTGAAAACGCAGTTCTGGCATTTTAAAACGGAGTTTTGGCATTTGAAACCGGAGTTCTGGCATTTGAGAAAACGGAGTTCTGGCTTTTGAAAACGGAGTTTTGGCATTTGAAAACGGAGTTCTGGCTTTTGAAAACGGAGTTTTGGCATTTGAAAACGGAGTTATGGCATTTAAAAACGGAGTTCTGGCTTTTGAAAACGAATTTTTGGCATTTGAAAACGGAGATCTGACAAATAGACAGGCGAACAAACAGACCGATAGGCCCCGCTGGACATAGAATCAAAACAATGAAAAGACAATGGAACATTCGGATCACTGGATCATGATGTTAGACGATATTTACCTTGCCTGCAGACTTTCCTAGACCGCCTGCAATATCCATGTTATACCTGAAGAAAGATCAGACATTAATTTCAATGCATGATTAACAATTGCATATCTAGGGAGAACAGTTTAGAACTGATAGAGCTATCCAGTATAAATAAAGTTAGTTTAGTTTAGGTTTCCTCCTGTAGTAACACTGAATCAATAAGAGATGATCCTTACTGGAACTCTAAGAAGAACAGTTTGGAACTGATAGAGCTATCCAGTATAAATAAAGTTAGTTTAGCTTAGGTTTCCTCCTGTAGTAACACTGGATCAATAAGAGATGATCCTTACTGGAACTCTAAGAAGAACAGTTTGGAACTGATAGAGCTATCCAGTATAAATAAAGTTAGTTTAGTTTAGTTTAGGTTTCCTCCTGTAGTAACACTGGATTAATAAGAGATGATCCTTACTGGAACTCTAAGAAGAACAGTTTGGAACTGATAGAGTGATCCCAGTATAAATAAGGTTACAGTAGTTTACATACTTTTCGCCAATGAATGCTGGAACATTTTTCTGGTCAACACCTTGTGGAATGACCACACCAGTGATGGTGGGCAAACGATGACGCTAAAAAACGTTTTAAAGCATTTGTATCCAACGGCGGATTTTCATTTTTTTAAAAAAGGGGTGGGAAAATGTCTAGTGGGTGCAATTAAGCACTGAGCGAGCTTTTTACAGGGGTTAGGCTAAGGCATTAGGGTTAAAGACTTTCATACAAAATAGGAGGGTTGAAGCGAAATTTTGATGAGGTTGAACACTTTATAAGAGGGATTAGAGAGGTTCTAAGGGGGGCTTAACCAATATTTCTTTGGCATTACCTTATCCTGAACGAAAAATGTGAGTCCCATTTTCTCAAAGCCATCTTGCAAAAGTTCAGCATTTTTCTGATGTCTTGCAATGAAATTTTCAAGACCCTAAAATCCGATGAAAATGTCCGATTATACTTACAAACTGAGCAAGACACGACACTGTTTATATCATATCTCCCCAAACCAACCTCTTCAACGACCAATGAAAGAGCCTCTCGCAAAGCATAAACAGAGTTAATTGGTGCAGTGTGATGATATCTATAAGAAAACAGGAATAAAAACTAAATGCTGTGATGAACATTGCATATTAGAAAGACAGAAGGCTTGTATACTCCCTTGAACTGACCAACCACACTCCACAAATATGAAATTTGAAGCAAATAAAATCTGTGCAGTGAAGTCATCCTATATCCTAACATGCTGTAGGTAAATCCTCTACTCAAGAGTTACAGGTATTGGGGTAGTGATCTAACCACACTCTGTGATCATTTTTACCTGCGTGGTCCATCGTCACATCCCCAATAGTTTGCGATCATCGTGAGATCAAAATAAAATGATGGAACCTTTGTGTTTCTTGATTGTAATTTCTTCCTGTGAAATATTTAACAACTATCTTTTAAAATCATCAAAGCCTAGCAATTAGACAGAGTAAAATAAGAAAGTGGAGCGCATTCAAACCTTTGCACAAAACGTGAAAGTGTATCTTTTTCAAACACAAACCACAGCAAAACACAGAATACTACCATACACAAACCACGGCAGCTTATTGTAGACTACTACCTACACTGGACCACCACGTTTGAGATATCTTTTTCAGGTAGTTCAGACACAACCACGGCAGCTTATTGTAGAATACTACCTACACTGGACCACCACGTTTGAGATATCTTTTTCAGGTAGTTCAGACACAAACCATGGCAGCTTATTGTAGAATACTACCTACACAGGACCACCACGTTTGAGATATCTTTTTCAGGTAGTTCAGACACAAACCACGACAGCTTATTGTAGAATAC